CTGTGCTCTGAAGCTATTCAAGGACTGTAATGAGGCTTTAGAAGCCACGTGCTTTAGTATTCTTTCAGTTACTGAACTCTTGAATGGATTGAATATGAAACTGGAGAGAAGGATTAGGAACAAGTTCTTTGGCTACACACTGAATTCTAAGCTTGAGGAGATTACTGAAAATATTGCTGGAAGGTGTAAAAAGGACTTCATGGCCTTTTAATGAAAGAGCAAAGAAGTATCTGCATGACAGGTATGACTTCTCTGAAGACAGCCTTCACAGCAAAGTGTACAATTTAGCTCTTGAAAAACGCATCAGCTTTGAAGAATTTTTGGAAGCTGTTCAGGCTTGCAGCATGAAAGAAATGGACATGGATGAGCTCTGTGAAGAAATTCTAAAAGTGGTAAACTCTTCTGTGTTAAAGGATTGCCTAACTAGCGAGGAGAGGCAACAGAACATTTTCACCAAGCACAGGGCAACTTCAAGAACTTTAAGAAGATCAGCTCCTACATCTTTTCAATACTGTGCAGCAATGCTCACATGGAGAGGAAAGGAGTACTTGTGGCACCTTAGAGACTAACCAATTTATTTGAGCATAAGCTTTCGTGAGCTACAGCTCACTTCATCGGATGCATTCGATGAAGTGAGCTGTAGCTCACGAAAGCTTATGCTTAAATAAATTGATTAGTCTCTAAGGTGCCACAAGTACTCCTTTTCTTTTTGCGAATACAGACTAACACGGCTGCTACTCTGAAACCTGTCACATGGAGAGGGTTTTCTCTCTGATGACCACAGCTGGGAGAAATAAAGGTAATCAGCTGGATGTAGAGAGCATGAAAGCAGAGCTCTAGATATGCATCAGTTTAACAGGGGAATGCAAAAATATGTACGCTGAGTTCCTCAAGAAGAAAGAACTTCTGAAAGAGGCCCAGGGTGGGCAAAAGTGCAGACACAGATGAACGGTTATGGTACTCTATGAATTAGGCACATCAAAAACTCTGCTTCTTGCTAGCAAGTCTAACTCTGTCTATATTGTCACTTTGTTCGCTACACACAAATAAACGTATTTTATTGTGAAAGTTCTGCATTGCATTGTAATTTTTATTCCATTTTATGTAATCTTACATGGAATTGAATGTAGGTTGCTGCATTATTTAACTTGCCAGAAATTAGAATTAGTCTTTTACTATACTATTCAGCAATGAGCTGGACATTTTAAATGTGGCAATGTTTGGTACAGGTTTTGTTAGCCATCATTTCTGCATGTGGGGGGGGGGTCACACCAGCGGGGGCAGGGATGTCCTGTATTCTGAGTATGCATCAGTTGCCACCCTAGTTTGAAGGAGAGGTGAAGAAGAGATGGCGATCGTACTAACAGTGCATACCCGAAACTGAAGGCTTCCTGTCTTTCACTGCAGATGAAGTAGAAAGAGTGATCAAAACATTGAAAATAAGTAAAGCCTGTGAGCTTGATATCGGCCCCCCTGAATTCTTGAAAAAACTGGGAAAACCTAGTAAATAACAGCTAGCCACCTTTCTATCTAGAGTCATCCAGGAGAATCAAATACCTAACATCTGGCACAGAGAAAAAGTAATAGCCATTCCAAAACCTGAAAAAGACCACTAACGTGTGAGTTACTGCACTATCTCTTTGCTATGGGTGTACAAATTACTTGAAAGGCTTCCAGGATGACTTGTTTACAGTCTAAGTACCTAGATCGGGGACAAATATTTAATACTGGGCTCTGCAGTCTAGCCGAGAAAGGTCTAACATGATCCAATGGCTGGAAGTTGAAGCTAGACAAATTCAGACCCCTCCCTCTGCCGTCACCTGTCCCTATCACACAATGAGGAGTGCACCCCTCCCTCCAACCTCTGCCATCACCTGTCCAGCAGGACATATGTCCATAACCCAGGCCTCTGCCGTCACTCAGCCCCATCACATAGAATTGCACACATCGCTCACACTTCTGAAAGGAGCTCCAGTGTGGCCCCAAGCACAGAGCAGATTGAGAGAGTTAATGTGTACAGCATGCAAACCTCGTGCAGAGAGGCTGTAAACTCAGAGGTTTGTGATGGAGGGGCAAAAGCTGCTCCCCTAAGCCACCATGTGAGAGCCCAGCGCAAGGTGTGTTTCTGAGGAAATAACTCAGAGGTGTGAACTGTTCGCCAAGATGCTAAAGTGTTTGTTTTGTGTTAAAATATTTCTACCCTAGTCCTTAGTGCCATTGAATCACTGAGCTCAGGGCAGTCAGGGCTGTACATTTTAGGAGGGTCAGAGTCATATTTGTATCTTTCATTCTGCACCAAAAAGGTGATAGAAACTGAAAAATTTAAAGGCAGTTCATTTTTTGAGGCAGGGGGCTGTTTCTTGGGAACCCCCCAAATTTGAACCCGTAATTCTAACCTGGGGCCCAGTGAGGCATAACATTTTTCAGTCTGCACAGGCATGTGGATTTTAGAGCACTTTGAACCTGGGACTCTTAATAGGGTTCAGCAAGAGACACCCCTTAGAGTCAGGGTCACTGCCACTTCCCTCTGTGAGAGGTTGGAAAGGGCAGGGCACAGGCTATATCTGTCGTGTTCCACCTTCCAGCTACAAGGTCTAAAAGGTTGGCTGTGGTTTTTTTTTTAATCTGACACTTGTGTCATTGCTCCATGGGTTTCCTTTGGTTGTATCCTCAACATTTCTGCCTTGTACTGTAGCAGTTTAGTCCCAATTGCCAGATTTCATCACCGGCTGCAAAGTAAGCAAAGCCCTGGTTGCTGGGGGTTTTCAAGCTTGTCCTTAATCTCTGGAGGGTGAAGATGTGATTAGTGGCTCGGACACAGACTCTGTGGATGGAGGATTTCAAAGGAGTCTGAGAGAGTCCTCACTTTCTCCTGACCTCTGGACCTAAGCTTCCCACCTCAAAATGCAGCTGATAACCCTCCTTGACTGTTCAGACCGCGAGGTCTTCAGGGCAGGGACTGGCCCTCATGCTGTGACTGTGCAGTGCCCAGCACAATGGGGCACAGGCTGCCTTCACAGAACAGCAGCAGTTGCAAACTTAGGAAAGCCGTGAATGCATTGTTACCTTGATTTACTGCAACTTCAGAGCTGGAGTGAAGAAGGAGGAGCCAGCACCCTGGGATACCTCCCCCAGCAATCTGCAGGCCAGCAGCAAGTATCCCTTGGGCCCACTGGGAGAGCAGCTGTGACTCAGGGGATAATGCAGAACGCTTCTGTGGGTGTTGCTGGTGACACATGCTTCTGCACTTGCTTGGACAATGCTGCCAACCCCAAGCATTTAACAAGTCATGAGTCCCCTGTCCCATCCCCCCATCATGAAATTGGCTTAAAAATAATGAGATTTTAATGACTTTGGGGTTCTGCTTATTTGCCTTCTAGTTTCTGAGTCTTTAGGAGTCACTTTCTCAAGCTTTTCTCTACAATCCCAAGAGCTGGAAACTTACCCTGTTTTAAAAAATGAAAGTTGCAATTCTGTCTCATGTGATCACCTGACTCCAGGAGCTGGGGCTTTAAGAAGAGCACCAAATGTCATGAGAACTGCAGTAAAAGCATGAAAGCTGACAACACTGCATGCACTGGAGAAATTTATCCTTCAACACACATCTCAGGGGAGTGTTCTCCAGGTACGCACAGGACTGCTTGAACATCTCCAGTCTGGGCCCTGGATTTAGATTGCAGAAGAGTTTGTGCTGTTATGGGAACAGATGTGTGTGCGTGGTGGGCAAGTGGGTGGTTCAGGCTTGGGTAAGGAAGGGGCTCTAATGATGTTTTTTTAGTAGGTTTACATTATTAAGTGGGGTTATAGGTGCAGGAGAGTGATTCACAATGGCACCGTCTTGCCCAGCAGTGCCTGTCACATGGCTCAGAGTCAGACCTGCTGGGTTTAGTGCCTGACCCCTTGTCTACACATAGGAGCTGCACTGGCGTCCCTTAAATTGGATCTTAGTTTGGTTTAAACCAGTTTCATTTCAGTTTAACTTAAGTTGATTCCAAAGCTGATAGAACAAAATCTGTTTAAAATTGTACCTTAGCTCTGTGGCTGTGACGTGCTCTGGCAGAGACGCCCTTCAACGGCTTTAGCACTTTTGACTTCTCTCAGCCCTGCAGGAGACAGCCCGGCTGGATGGGTGTGTGTGGCGTATGCATTATCACTTAGTTCCAGGAGCAGGACCTTTGGGACAGCGAGGATAAAAAAAGAGCCCAGAGGAATTCTACGTTCCCAGGGAACTCTGCGCGTATGTCTACACCGCAGTTAAACATCTGTGGCTGGCCTGTGCTAGCTAACTCGGGCTAAGGGGCTTGGGCTAAGCGGCTGTTTAATTGTGGTGTAAACACTTGGGCTTGGACAGCAGCCTGAGCTCTGGGACCCTCCCAACTCACAAGGTCCTAGAGCCCAGGCTCCAGCCCAAGTGTGAACATCTGTACTGCAAGCCCAAGTCAGCTGACAAGGGCCAGCCGTGGATTTTTAATTACAGTGTAGACATACTCTGTCAGGCCAGTATGCAGAGAGCCAACCCTAGCCAGCAGTGAGCTGAGCACACTGGATTGGAGTTCACCAGAGTCCAGCTGCCAGGGCTCCAGAAGTGCTGACTGCAGAAGATGCTTCTGCTCTTGTGTAGGGTTTTCTGTTTTGAGTATTATGCACTGGGGATGCCTAAATGATCTGCATCCAGGTCAGAACCTTCGGGCTGTGGCCCTCACAGGCACAAAACTGCACGGGGTGAGCAGTTTTTTATGTTCCACTTCAACCCTTCTCATTGTCCAAGGAAAGAAACAGGTGCTGAAGTTCCCTCCCTGTAGCGAAGGGGCTCTATGTCACTGCCCTGGTGGGGGGTGCCCCCCTTGTCCCCTGGGGCCAGGACAAGGGTCCCCAGTGTGGTGGCGTGGGCAGCCCTTTGGGGCCTGTGCTGGGGCTTTCCTCTCTCCAGCAGCCTGTAGGGACACATTGGGGTGCCAGATCAGACAATGACTGAACTCTCCCTGCTTCTTTCCTGCCAGCTGCTGTGAACCTGTGCGTCTCCCTGCGGGTGCCTCAGGCTGTCCCCATGGACCTGCGGATCGGACAGCGCTTTGTCAAGCCCGGCTCCGACACCGCCCTGCTGGCTCTCAAGCAGACCCAGCAGCTGCAGCACCAGCTCTTCTTGGCCAGCCTGCACCAGCAGCAGATGGAGCAGTTCACCCACCAGCACGTGCGGGTAGGAACAGCCTTCCGGGCCTCTGGGGCGCCACAGGGCCAAGCTCAGGCTTTGGGGACACATTGCACCAGTAGCCCTTGAGGCACTTGCCTGCTGCAGACACACTGGGAGCCTGCTTCAGTCAGTCAGCACAGCGGGAGTGAAGCTGGTAGCCACCCCCTGGCTCTGAGCACAGCTGTGCTGGGGAGCAGGAGGCCCCCAGGCCCCAGAAGGACCAAGCCATTGTCGGTGATCAGAACTCGAGGGAGCTCAAGGAGCAGCGGTTATGTCTGGCTTCCCAGGCAGTACCAATGGGATGGTGCTCCAGATAGTGGTCTGGGCAGATCCCTGGCTCCCCCAGCCTTTCATCAGACGTCATCATTTATTTCTCTTGTCTCTGAGACTGGAGCGAATCATCCCACAAACCTCCAAGATCCCAAATGAAATGGAGAAAGTTACAGGACAAATGCTGGGCTACTCCTGCCAGTCTCTGGGTCTGAGCACGCTACCCAGCCCTGGCTGCCACTTTGGGTGGAGATGCCGGAGGCAGCCTATGCTCTTGAGCACCCTCCACCCTGTATGACCCTCTCCCTTCTTACCCCCTTAACCTGTCCATTATCCTGGCAGGCCTAGAGGCATCCCTGTCATGGACTTTTTGTCTGGGCCCGAATACAGTGGCCCCAATGCCATGTGTTCATATGGCTCAGCGCTGGGTCCGTGCAGCATGGCCAGTGGCGGTGAAAAGCAGAAAGTCACCTTCTGGTCTGGCTTTTCACAGGGATCACAGGAGGCCACGGTTAGCAGTGCTTTCCCCTGTCAAGGCCTGAGAAGTCTACTGTCCATGTCTATGTGAACACAGTTCTCCTGGTCACCGAGAACATAAGGATGATCCAGCAGTGACCCCTCCCCTGTTTCTGGAAGTGGCAGCACCAGCTGCTTGAGAACAAGGGGCAAGGAAACCTGGAATGGGCCCAAGGAAGGGCTGGGGGCTGGATCAGATGGTGCAGAGCCAAGAGTTCTGTCCAGGGCAGAGCCAAGTTGACAAGCCAGATCAATTCCACAGGCCATGGCAGAACGTTGACAGCAAAGTTTGCATTTCCAGGTCTCTGCTCTGCTCCCTGGCCGTGTCCTTGACCATGAAGGTCAGAACCTTCCAGACCCTACAGTAAATGTGGTGTTGTAGGCAGGGTCAGTCCATCCCTGGAGCCCCAGAACTGATCCCTCCATCTGATTCCAGGAAGAAGTCAAAGCCAGTGGCCCTCTTCTCCAGTCGCCAATCCTGTCGCCAATCCAGTCGCCAATCCTGCAGCTCTTAGGATTGTTCCAGGGCTTCCTATGCTGACAGAAAGCCCAAGGGGTGCTCAGCAGGGGATACCGCTTCCCCCTGTCTTGGTCTGGAGCCCAGCACAGCCCATAAATCCCACACTTGGGGAGCAGGGCCTAACCTGGACCCCAACAGTCTCATCTGGGTAACTGCAGCCCCCACAGGGGCTTAGTGGCAAATCTGCTTTCACTGCCCAGTCCCTGGGACCCGGCCTTTCTCTCCTCCCTGAATGACAGCTCCACTGCGTGCTGGTGACCAGTCCTGGCTTTCACATCACCCCGGTCCGAGAACAGCCTTAGGACTGGCAGGAGCTCACCTGCAGGGGAAGGACCCATTGACTCCATTGTCGTGGTACCTTGAAGCACCAGGATGGGCCCCTTTATCTCTCGCCCTCCCTGTTTCAGGGGTCAGGTACCAGACTGCTGGTGCGCCACCCATCAGAGGGCCTGTATCAAGTGACTCCCGAGAGTCACTATTGATAGAGCCTACAGGGCAACACTCTCCCTGCAGCCCCATCACTCTGTCATGTCTCTGGACTCAGGGCTGAGGGGGCTTGGGCTTTGCAACTGTACCTCCCAGAGTCACCTCTCCCCTGGTGCTGGTGCCCTGCTAAATAGACAGGCTCATGGAGAATGAGCCACTCTGATGCCTGCGCCCAACCTGCTCTGGGTGTGCTGGGCCTAAGGCCCTCTGGGGAGCCCCCTGGTGGACCTTTGCGGGGAGATCTGCTCTCCCCTTGCCTTCCCCCAGGGCCTTGCCTGGGGTAGAGCTCCTGCCTTCCCCTCCCCTCAGGGCAAGGGAGGGGCTCCCCTTCTGTCCACACAGGATGCTGGCTGGGGCAGGGCTCCCCCCCTCTCCTCCCCACAGGGATCTGAAGCAGGACTCCCCCCCCCCGCCCCTCCACAGGGACCAGGCCAAGATGGGGCACCCTCCTCCCCTGCAGGGCTCTGGCAGAGGCGGGGCTCCCCTTCCCTCCCTCCAGGACACTGTCTGGGGCAGGATTCCTCTCTCCCGTCCCCTGCCCTCCCCCACAGGGCACTGGCTGGGGCAGAGCTCTCTTGCTGCTATGCTGATGCTCTCTGTCCCCCCTGCAGGTGAACATGGACTCCCCGCAGCGTGAGGCAGAGGCTGGGCAGCAGGACCAGGAGCTGCGGCTACTCCTCAATAAGGACAAGAGCAAACGAAGTAAGAGCCCCTCGCTGTGTCCATCTATCTGTCTGTCTGCAATGCAATGGGTGCCATGACTCTGCCTGGGAGTCTGAAGGGGGGGCTCAGGCCCCCTGCCCTTTAGGTGGGGACAGGATGGTTCCCACATGGGTGCTCCCTGCCCGTGCTGGGAGTCTGGGTTCCTTCTGAACACAGCCCTGCCTGCAGCATGGCACTGTGCTCCTGGTTCGGGCCTTCCATGTCACTGTGCAGGATGCTCCTGGTAAGGATGTGCTGTTGCTCTGCTTCTCCACTAAGGGTCTTTGCGAGCTGCGAAGGTCCCGCCTGGTGCCCACACCCCGCCCTGCTGCCAAGGGCAGCTGCAGAGATTGAACCTGCTACAAGGGCAGGAATCGGCAAATCAGAAAAGCAAAAGGGATCCCCTTGGGTAAGCCTAGGTGAGTGCCTGGCCCTACCTGCCACCCCAGCGCTGGGGGCTGCCAGAGCAGGTTGGGCCCCAGCCCACCTCTGCTCCTTCTTAGCTTTCCAGGTGGCAGCAGAGCACATCAGGGTCACTCCCCGTGCGGAGCCATGGGCACTGGGATGGTCCAGGTCAGAATGAACTGGTCAGTGTTTTGGGAGCCATTGCTGTAGGAGACCAGCCCACTGGGAGGGGCAGGAATCCACCTCCAAGACTCTGTGACTCAGGCTAGGAGCCGTGGTGCCACAGGCAGAGCTTGTGCAAGCTCCTTCCAGCTCTCCCCCATCCCAGCCCTTCTGTCTGCTGAGGGCAGCGGGAAGGACCTGGGACTGAAACAGCCAGTACCAGTGGGGAGGTGGCGCCCCTGGACTCGATGCTCTGGGAGTACCTTCTACATGAAGCCAGTGGCCCATCTAGTGCCCGTTCCAGCACAGAGCTCTCAAAACAGTGAACTTCCTGAGTTATCCATTCAGTGCATCACACCTGCCTGTACTCTAGGAACAGCTCCAAACTGCAGCCCCACCATGACCCTTCTTAGGGTCCCCTGCTGGTCCACCCAGGTACCCACAACACAGGCTGCAGAAAGCCCACTGTCTGGGAGCCTCAGAGAGCTCATTAGTAGCCATTGTGCCTGATGTCTGGGAGCCCACCATAGCCATCACCCTGGTCACCCATGAGCAACTCCTAACTCAGCTCCCGTCCACACAAACTCTCTGGCCTGCATGTGGTAGTGCTCAGCCCTCAGGCTGGCTGGGGCTGTGGGCCAGAGCCCACGTGCTGCTGTCACTCAGGCTGTTAACCCGCCCACTTTGCAGTGGGGGCACAGGCTAAACTACTGGAGTGCTGATCGTCCTTTAGTGCTTTCCCCCAAGCCCCCCAGGTGCCCAAAGGGCAAACAAGTTCTCCCACCTAGAGTGGCTCAGCTCACTGCAGCATTAAGAACCATGGGCTATGTCCCCAGAAGTCCTTGTGCCACACACCAGTAAATGCAGAGCCAGTGAAGACACAGTAGACTAGACACACTGGAGTGTGGCTTTGTAGTGTGTCAGAACCGAGTGCCGATCGTCTGGGCTGACTCTGCAGTGAAGACATCTGCTTGCAGGCTCAGGAGCTGAGCATGATGGGATAGGTGGAAGTGATATCACACCCTCCCAGAGCATGGGAACTGCTGGCACTGTGGAAACATGCAAATGATCAGGTGTGGCTGAGAACAGTGTGATGAATGCTTGGCCACGCGGGAGCTTTGGAAATCAGTTGTGGCTCTTCTAGCTAGCTGGGCTGCCTGTCAGAGCCATCACTCCACAGAATGCCTTCTGTGCACTTTCATCCACCAGCTTCCTGCTGGGAGGAACCCCCAGCGAGCTCCCGATCTGTGATCTTTTCAGTGAGCTCTCCTTATGCAGCAGGTAGAAGCAGGCAGTGTGCACAGTTATGGGGCAGTTTCGGGAGGACTGGCACTGACCGGGAATGAGGTCACGGCTGGTTTGGTGTCTGCTTAATGGGTCAGCGCCGACCCCAGGAGGTATATGTCTGCACTGGAGTTGAAAGGTGTAATTCCCAGCTCCGATAGGCATACATTAAAATAGCAGCGTAGCAGCCACAGCACAGGAGGTGGTACAGGCTAGTCAAGCAACTACAATCTGGATGCACTTGGGTCTCAGACTTGGGGTAGCTAGCCCCTTCTGCCACTCGAGCCACCATAGCTACACTTCTGTGTAGGGACAAAATTACAAAGGCCAAGGCACAAAACGAGATCAAACCAGCTAGAGACATAAAGGGTAACAAGAAAACATTCTACAAATACATTAGAAGCAAGAGGAAGACCAAGGACAGTTACTCGGGGGGAGGGGGGGGGACAATAACTGAAAATGTGGAAGTGGCAGAGGTACTTAATGACTTTCAGTTTTCACCAAGAAGGTTGGTGGTGATTGGACATCTAACATAGTGAATGCCAGTGAAAATCGGGTAGGATCAGAGGTCAAAATAGGGAAAGAACAAGTTAAAAATTACTTAGACAAGTTAAATGTTTTCAAGTCACCAGGACCTGATGAAATGCATCCTAGAATACTCAAGGAGCTGAGGAGATATCTGAGCCATTTAGCGATTATTTTTGAAAAATCAATGGAAGATGGGAGAGATTCCAGAAGACTGGAAAAGGGCAAATATAGGCCAATTTATAAAAAGGGAAATAAGGACAACCCAGGGAATTACAGACCAGTCAGCTTAACTTCTGTACTCGGAAAGATAATGGAACAAATAATTAAGCAATCAATTTGCAAACATCTAGAAGATAATAAGATGATAAGTAACAGCCAGCATGGATTTGTCAAGAACAAACCAACCTGATAGCTTTCTTTGACAGGGTAACAAGCCTTGTGGATGGGGGGAGGTGGTAGATGTGGTATATCTTGACTTTAATAAAGCTTTTGGTACTGCCTCACGTGACCTTCTCATAAACAAACTAGGAAAATGCAACCTAGATGGAGCTACTATAAGGTGAGTGCATAACTAGTTGGAAAACCGTTACCAGAGGGTAATCAGTGGTTCACAGTCATGCTGGAAGGGCATAACGAGTGGGGTCCCACAGGGATCAGTTCTGGGTCCGGTTCTGTTCAATATCTTCATCAATGATTTAGATAAATGGCATAGAGCACACTTATAAAGTTTGCGGATGATACCAAGCTGGGTGGGGTTGCAAGTGCTTTGGAGGAGAGGATTAAAATTCAAAATGATCTGGACAAACTGGAGAAATGGTCTGAAGTAAACAGGATGAAATTCAATCAGGACAAATTCGAAGTACTCCACTTAGGAAGGAACAATCAGTGGTACACACACAAACTGGGAAATGACTGCCTAGGAAGAAGTACTGTGGAAAGGGACCTGGGGGTCAGAGTGGACCACAAACTAAATATGAGTCAAAATCAAGGCCATCCCTAGGGTGCTGCGGAGCCTGGGGCGGAAGTGACATCACTTCCGGGACTGACCACACCGAGGACGGGTAGGGGAGGCTGAGGGAGGCGGTGCCTCCTCAAACAGCCAGGCGTGTCCCCTCCCCCCACCCAGGGTCCCGCTTCGGCAGCGCCGCTGGGCTCCAGGGGGCTGGGGCCACGCCCCCTGCCTTTCTGGGGCTGGGGAGGCTGCTGCTCCCGGCGCTCCGGGGCGGCTGCAGTGGCGCTGCCGTGGGCTCTCCCTCCCGGCGCTCCGGGGTGGGGCGGCTGCAGTGGCGCTGCCGCGGGCTCTCCCTCCCGGCGCTCCGGGGTGGGGCGGCTGCAGTGGCGCTGCCGCGGGCTCTCCCTCCCGGCGCTCTGGGGCGGCTGCAGTGGCGCTGCCGTGGGCTCTCCCTCCCGGCGCTCCGGGGTGGGGCGGCTGCAGTGGCGCTGCCGCGGGCTCTCCCTCCCGGCGCTCTGGGGCGGCTGCGGTGGCGCTGCCGCGGGCTCTCCCTCCCGGCGCTCTGGGGCGGCTGCGGTGGCGCTGCCGTGGGCTCTCCCTCCCGGCGCTCTGGGGCGGCTGCGGTGGCGCTGCGGCGGGCTCTCCCTCCCGGCGCTCTGGGGCGGCTGCGGTGGCGCTGCCGCGGGCTCTCCCTCCCGGCGCTCTGGGGCGGCTGCGGTGGCGCTGCCGCGGGCTCTCCCTCCCGGCGCTCCGGGGCGGCTGCGGTGGCGCTGCCGTGGGCTCTCCCTCCCGGCGCTCCGGGGCGGCTGCGGTGGCGCTGCCGTGGGCTCTCCCTCCCGGCGCTCCGGGGCGGCTGCGGTGGCGCTGCCGTGGGCTCTCCCTCCCGGCGCTCCGGGGTGGGGCGGCTGCGGTGGTGCTGCCGTGGGCTCTCCCTCCCGGCGCTCCGGGGCACACGCTGTCCCTCGGGTAGAAGGGGCGAAGCTAGGAGTAGCCTCCCCCAGCCAGCAGTTCATCCGCTGCCCATGCCGCGCCGGCCAATTGTGCTGGCCCGTGGGCCCCCCAAAGCATGAGGCCCAGAGTCATCGCCCCAATTTGCCACCCCCTAGGGACATCTGTGGTCAACAGGGTTACACTGTTGCAAAAAAACCGAATATCATTCTGGGATGTATTAGCAGGAGTGTTGTAAGCAAGACATGAGAAGTAATTCTTCCGCTCTACTCAGCGCTGATTAGGCCTAGTATTGGGTCCAGTTCTGGCGCCACATTTCAGGAAAGATGTGGACAAATTGGAGAAAGTCCAGAGAAGAGCAACAAAAATGATTAAAGTTCTAGAAAACACGACCTATGAGGGAAGATTGAAAAAATTGTGTTTGTTTAGTCTGGAGAAGAGAAGACTGAGAGGGGACATGATAACAGCTTTCAAGCACATAAAAGGTTGTTACGAGGAGGGAGAGGAATTGTTCTTCTTAACCTCCGAGGATAGGACAAGAGCCATGGGCTTAAATTGCAGCAAGGGAGGTTTAGGTTGGACATCAGGAGAAACTTCTTAAACTGTCAGGGTGGTGAAGCACTGGAATAAATTGCCTAGGGAGGCTGTAGAATCTCCATCGTTGGAGATTTTTAAGAGGAGGTTAGACAAACAACAGGGATGGTCTAGAATAATATTTAGT